GATGAATTAAATGTGAAGATTAAATTTTTTTTTTAAGGGCTACATGTACGAGTTGATAAGTTTATTTCTGTATGTGTCTATATTTATAAGGGAAATTCTGTGCATTAATAGGCAGAGATAAAGATAGATTCGAGGATTACTATGGATTAGTTCACACGTTTTTGTGTTAAATAACATCTAAACAAAGAGAAACGTGAATATATATATATATATATATATATATATAATATGAACATATTCATGAATGGGAATATGAATAAGTGATCGAAGTAAGTTTTCCTTGTTAATACACACACACACACACACATATATATAAATTGGATGTCTATTTCAAATAAGATGAGTCTACTATGATAACGTTTAACGCTATATATATATGTGTGTGTCTACTATAACGCTATATATATATATATATATATATATATATATATATATATATATATATATATATATATATATATATATATATATATATAATAATTAAAGGACTGAATTTTGACCTACCTTTATCACGCAAGATAAACGGATGTCTACTAAGCTTTATCAATACGTTGGTTTCTTCACACACACACACACACACACACACACACACATATCAAATATATTTAAATATATATATAAAGGATTAATACAAATATCAAATTTTTAATTGCTTGGTTAATTGATATATATATATATACATACATAGATAGCGTTATATATATATATATATATATATATATGTACAAACATGGAATAAGAGAAAATGTTTTAACATGACAGGAATTAGGTTAATACGTTAAATCTAGCTGAAAAATCGATAATTTTGCGTTTATATTCTACGATTTCCCGCGTTGCTTTCTTCCGTTCAACTTAACGAAGAATTAGGATAATTTGATCCTTAGCTCATACCCTTCTTTATATATATATATATATATAGAGATAGATAGATAGATAGATAGATAGATAGATAGATAGATAGATTTGTGACATCGTTTGTACTGATATGAGGACAATATATAATTGTATTATGTCGTATTGAATCAGAGTTAGCTCCTGCTAATCGAGTGAATTATAATCAGTTCAGTTGAATGCCAACATCTCAAAAAAAAAAAACTCTCACTCACAATACGCATTTAGACTCCATCTTCGATCGATAAGTTTAAAATTATGTATTATAGCTGTTCAATATTTTTTCCACTCTGTATTCTCTACCCCACGATCAGCTATCGACGCCTTCCTTCCCAACGTCAATACATTTGTAGATGCCTATATTGTATTCTGAATTCTATAAATAGCCATATTAGCATAGAGCTTAGCAATACATCTTGTGTGCGCGTGTGTCCGATCCGACCTCTCTTTTCTTTTTCTGGCAACCGCCTTTTCAAATAAGATTTCCCAATAAGTCATCATATTAATGAGAACTAAAATAGGCGAAGAGGAGGAAAAAATGGAGGAATAGTAGGAGGAGGAAGAAACGGCGTCTGGCCATTCATTTGTCTTTATATAGACAAATTTTCTGTTCTTAGCCTAGACACGTGCACTTTTCTCTTGCTTTGTGTGCCCGTATGTGCATGTGTGTGCATGTACGTATGTATTCATGGCTATAAAAGTATAATTTGCACGATTAGATGAAAGCATGTGGAATTCATGGAAGTTCATGTAAGTTTATTAAAGCTAAATTTAGAATATATATTCTATATATATATATATATATATATATATATATATATATATATATATATATATATATATACCAATTCATTCGAAAATTTTATCTGGATCGCTCTTTGATCTGTGTTTTCTTTTCTTTGCTTTCCATTTCTTTTTCTTTTCTTCTTTTATTTTTCTTTTCACTTAGTCAATAAAATTCACTCACAAATATAAATTAATTTGTCCTATGTTTCTGTGTCGTGTCATTTTAACTCAAATCTCGACCTGTAATACATTTGAATAAAAATCTCTGAACGAAGTAAATATTTACAATAGCCCGCCTATTCGGGTATAAGCTCACAAATAATGAACTAAAACTAAAATTAACATGTTCGTAATTTTGAAAAGTCGATCAATAAAATTAATCGGCACAAAATGTCTGTTTGTAATAATTTTTGTCTTATACATACATACATACATATATATATATAATTTGTGCGTGTGTGTGTGTGTGTGTGTGTGTGTGTGTGTGTGTGTGTGTGTGTAATCAGGGTTAAATTTCTAAACTACTGACCCATAAGCTAAATCCAATAAATTTAAATACCAAAGTATATTAAAATAAGCAAGGACATATAATAAAAGAAAACATAAATAAATAAATAAACAAAATTAAGGCCAAGACTATAAATAATATCAATCATTAACCCAAAATAATAATTAAAGACAAAAAAGGTTTTCCGCTTTTCCATAAGCCCCTAGTGCCCTAGATAGAGAGCCCACATAAAGAGGAGTAATACATGACCGGAGACTGAAAGTCAGCATGCAGTGTCAATTTCTATATTCTCACTGTATATATCTGTGTATCTATATATCTATATGCATATCACTTTATCTATATAATAATAATAATAATAATAATAATAATAATAATATAAAGGAGATTCAACCAGTGTATTTCTAGAGGATAACATTTTAATACAGTCCGTCTTTGCAAATAAAGAGAGCATTAATAGTAAACAAATACGATAAAATGTTCTTTTTCTTTATTTATTTCCTGACTCGTAACTTTGCAGAACTTATTACCCAACACCCTGACGAGACGACACCAGTTTGCATTATAATTTTATTACGAGTACTTTCGACATTAGCACAATTTTGTCTTCAGGGTTTTACGTTTGTACGTGTGTCTATATGATGAAATGAAAAAAAATTGTACTGTAACCTTAGCGTTTTTCACTTCGCACACAAAAAAATTAATTTTCAGATGAACACAACAATTCTGTCTTAGAAAAATGAGGAAGACAGCAATTGTTTTCTTAGAAAAAACATGATCCTTATAAAAATGAATATGCATGAACACGGTAATTTTCTTTCTTCCTTTAATGAGGATATTAAGAAACTTGTCCGTAATTACGAGAGGATCCTATTAAATATAAGAAGTCAAAACTTCTCTAAATGATTAAATGAGACATGTCTTAATGAAAATCTGATGCCAAAATACACAATAATATATATATATATATATATATATATATATATATAGTTATATATTTAGTTGTATGGATATGAGTTTATGACCCTGGGTTTAATGCTTTTGCGATCATCAGACAAACTTATATCCATACAACTGAATATGTTAGCTCTATCACTGATATTGAGTACTGCGCATATATATATATAGATAGATATATAGATAGATAGATAGATAGATAGATAGATAGATAGATAACTATGAACCTAAAGAGCCATGCAAACCTACCTAGGTTTCACCTACGCGGATCGTCAGGGTACGACGATCCGCGTACGTAAATCCGCGTAGGTACCCTGACGATCGGCGTAGGTGAAACCTAGGTAGATTTGTCTGGCTCTTTAGGTTCATAGATTTGCTCTACTTAGCGTATTGAGCACTTTGCTTAGTTATTTTTATTTTACTCGTGTTGGAGATTTTTTTTCTTTGGACTCTGAGCTTGGATTCTGGACGATTATTTTCGCCGAAAGTACATGTTCTTAGTTCTTTCTTTTTTTATTCCTCATTTTTCCTTGCAAAACACCTATGGTTTTTTCTGGACGAGTATACTTATATTTATAAGATTATTATTATTATTAGATAGATAGATAGATAGATAGATAGATAGATAGATAGATAGATAGAAGGCTGGGATAGATAGATAGAAGAAGGCTGAGATAGATAGATAGATAAATAGATAGATAGATAGATAGATAGATAGATAGATAGATAGATAGAAGAAGGCTGGGATAGATAGATAGATAGATAGATAGATAGATAGATAGATAGATAGATATCTGTGTGTGTGCCATGTTATAATAGTTGATGATCTATTCTCACAGACTACAAACCTAATCAATTTACTCATCTTTGAGTAGTCCACATTAATATCCTTGTGTCAGACTAAGATAAACCGCTCTCTCTATATATATAAGTGTGTGTGTGTGTGTGTTCGTGCTCGAGCGTGTATGTATATATATATTTTTTATGTAAAATATATGCCGTTATCATTAGGTTACGAACTTAGCAAAGGCATACGTGCGTGTGTGCGCGCGCATGCTCGTGCGCGTGTGTTTGTGAACGCATTTGTTTAGTTCGCAGCCTTATGATAACGGCATATATTTTACATAAACTACAAATATCACATAATCACGCGTCAGTATTTGGTGTTTTCTCTTATTAAATTCAAAAATATGTTTAATATTTGTGTGTGCTAAGTCAGGGATTTTACGATTCCTGGGTTGCGTTAAGGAATACTTGATATCTTATCAAACCAGCCTTATTAAATGTGTTTAATTGAACATCACCGGGGTAGTATTTAAACGAACATTCCCTTTCTGGCTTTATTTCAAGTAATATTTTTATTAGTATTTATTAGTATTTACTTATTAGCCATCCTGGTAAGACGATAAACTACATCCGACAACAAGGCCTTTGATCAGGAGGTTTTTGATGAGCGTGGAACCACCTCTTAATTGCAGGTGTTCCCAGGTTTACCCTGACCTGGGGTAGTACCATCTGTCAGGGTCCCAACTATGGGTAAATAATTAATCCCCAAACTGGAGTCAAAGCACTATAAAGGAGAAAAAATAGGTGTTAATACCAGCATTATACTTTTGAAGAAAAATTTATTACCAGTAATACATTTTTGAGAAAAAAAAATATAAGCAGCTTTACATTCTTGAACGAAAATATTACCAGTAATAAAAATCTTGTCGGCATTAAATAACCCACTTAGATGTCGCACAAGGTCGAAAGTATGAAGCACACAGTGAGGATCGAACTCACTATTCAGTCGTAACTGATCTAAAGTGATACAATCTAGCTAACCTCGAAGTGCCCCATTGGTGAATATACAATCTTACGGCCACATCACGTTGAAAAACTGTTCCCGGACGATTACCGAAGTTAAGCAACGTCGAGCCTGATCATTACCTAGATGGGTGACTGCTTGGTAATACCTGGTGTTGTAAGCTTGGATTTGAGAGTGGTGTAATAGATAATTGACTCGGAATTGTTCATCGGAGAGCCGAGTTCCAATTCCAGTTGGGTTCATTATATTGAATTACGCACAAATACACTTTTCCTCCAGCTATGGGTTAATTAATAAGATTGGTATTGCTAAAAAGTTATTATGCGCCCCCACCCACAAAAAATGTGTTTCTTTCAATCTAAAAATAATTTCTGGTTTTAAATAACTTGCAAAGTGTTGATAAGCCGTAAAAACGAATCAAACAAACTGAACAAAAAGCCGTAAAAACGAATCAATCGAACACACACACACACACACACACATATATATATATATATATATATATATATATATATATATATATATATAAAAATTATAACATAAATATGTTTTAAAATCACTACAAAAATAGTCATTTTGTTTCAACACTTCTGGTGTCTTATCAAGTGATGGTGTTGAATGTAGAATAAAGAAGAAAAAAACCCTTTACTCTACATTCAATACCATCACTTGATAAGACACCAGAATTGTTGAAACAAAATGGTTACTTTTGTAGTGATTTTATAAAATATTTATGTTATAATTTTCGAATAAATAATTATATTTGCTCTACTCTGTATTGAGCAATCTTTTAAGATTAGTATTTGTTGGTTATTGCAATTTATTCCGTATACACCAATCCTATACTTGGATTATTATATATATATATATATATATATATATATATATATATATATATAGTCCAATATATCTATGTTGAATTTGACCTCCAAAACAGCACTGTTCCTTCATATACGAAGCCTAATACGTTGCTGAAATATATTAACTCTAACTTCAGCCACCCTAAGCGAATTATTGAACACTTCCCAAAAGGAATTGAATTTAGATTATCAAGAAATTCCTCATCCAAGGAGATTTTGGAACTGAACAAAAAAGTATATGAAGCAACATTGATAGAGGAGGGGCACAAAACAAAAGACACGCTAAAAAAAAAACGCACTAAATTTCCATGAACCTGGATGAGTATGTACCCACACTGTAATTTTTTATTATTACGTCCCCCCCCCGCCAACACCTCCTATTTATACGTTTAATTTTTAGCGCGAATTTTATGATTCGCCATTCCACCAGAAAGTAAGTTTGAAACCGGGTTGTGCTGGTGAATATTACTGATTTTTTCAATATATATATATATATATATATATATATATATATATATATAAAGTGAACATTGAAGTCAACACTTAGAGGCGACTGGCTGTTTTCTAGACGCAATCGTAAGCCCACGAATGCTATAGTCGAAAAAAAAGCACTCGTCTGATGATTACGTCTAGCATGAAACAGTCTGTCGCCTCTGAGTGTTGACTTCAATGTTCACTTTTATATTTACACACGCTCTATCTCTGATATTGAGCACTTTATCCCATAAATATAGCACACCTTAAGAGTATATTTCTTCATATATATATATATATATATATATATATATATATGTATGTATGTATGTATGTGTGCGTGTGTGTGGTCAGCAATCTTTCTTTCATGCACATTTCATTGAATACGATAGACAAGGTGCTTTTATTTAGTTTTTTATACAATTTCTCATGCGATGTAATTTTTTTTCTTTTCAGATGATAAATTGTATAAAAACTGTCCGAATGTTCTTTTTATCCGAGCGCTTTTGGCTATACATTTAGCCATTTTCAAAGATTAAATATTTTAACTGTCAAATAAGAAATAGTTTTTGCACGTACGTATTTATATGACGTTTTCATTTTTCAAAACACGGTCAAGATATTTTGTTCATGTTCATAGTTAGTTTTAAGGTGAGCTATATTTATGGGATAAAGTGCCCAATATCAGAGATAGGGCGTATGTAAATATAAATATAAAAGTGAACATTGAAGTCAACACTCAAAGGCGACAGGCTGTTTCATGCTGGACACAATCGTCAGGCCACCTGCGTCCAGTATGAAAACAGCCTGTCGCCTCTCAGTGTTGATTTCAATGTTCACTTTTATATATATATATATATATATATATATATATATATATATATATATATATATATGTGTGTGTGTGTGTGTGTGTGTGTGTGTGTGTGTGAAAATATATAGAAAATACGAAGGAACTGGTTAGGTAAATAAGCCAAAGTTCCTTAGTATTTTAGTTATTATTTTTAAAAAATAGTGCTCGATACAAAAGTAGAGCATAAATATAATTATTAAGAGCCGAAAACTTCAATACAGATTTTATCATATACCCGTTATTTCTAATGGATACCCGTATTTAAGTAGACGTTCTATTTATTTATTATTGATATTTAAATATACTGTTTAATAAATAAACGGGGTGCCACCTGAAATATGCTTATCCACTAGAAATAACTTTTACGTGATTAATATATATTATTACGTACCGCCATCTTTTAATTTTATGGTAGAAGTGGGAGTCACAGTAACATAATATAAAATCACGAATTATTTTCCCAATTGTCCTTTCCTGATTGATCAAAGGCGGCCGAACTAAATGGAATCAATTAACGAACAAACACGGTGGGTGACAAACAACACAAGACAAAGACATTTATCCATTTTATTACTATTAGCAGTAGAACCCGGCGTTGCCCGAGGATGTAACAGTGAGAGATAGATCAAGTATCGACCATCATAAAGACTGAAAAATAAAATTGACAAAGATTATTGTTTAAGGTTGACGGACACGCATGTCTTAATTAGTTTTTTTGTTTTGTTTTGTTTTGTTTTTGTTTTTTACGAATTGGTCAAACCCAAACTCAAACAAAAACATTATTTTCAATCGTTATGAGCCTACCGATTGAATAGAATTTTATTATAAACAATTGTCTTGTAAATGGAATTTTTAAAGCATTCTGAATGTAAAAATAAAGAAAAAAGTGTGCAAGACAATACGAAACACTACCTACCAAAAAAAGTGAAGTTTTGTTGAAATCGGTTGAAAAATGTAGGAAATCCGATCCCATATATAAACGAACACACACAAACAACCTGGGTTTTATCATAAGTATAACTCGATATGAGTTGTACCCCTTTCATTCTCGAAACAGTGATGCCTTCGTGCAAAAACAATTGTGTTTTCCAATTTTTGGCGCTGTCAGAACCACCGCAAAGTAATTTTACGTAGTCCTGTGAAGTTTTGTTGAAATCGGTTGAAAAATGTAGGAAATCCGATCAAATATATAAACGTACACACACACACACAACCTGGGTTTTATAATAAGTAAGATTATAGAAATGGGGATTAAATATGTTGGGGTATATTAAAAGATGAAAGACGGGCAAAACAAAACAATGAGACAAAAATAAATATTACAGGACAAAGCAATGTGGGGGGTATCTTTTCAGAAAGTAAATATTGACGAACAAACTTGTGTGAAACTTTCATGAAACTACAATGACAAAATGAGCAAAGATAAAACAGGCAATAAAAACAAAGGATTTATCTGTTATTTGAAAAATCTTTCTTTTACGCTTCCTTTTCTTTTAGTTTCTCTTATATGTTCCTCTTTTCTTTTATATTCCATTTTATCTTTTATCTTTTTTCTTTTCTCTTCTCCTTGAAGGGTAGAAAGTTTATCTGTGAAGTGGATTTCTTTTTGGTTTCCTGTCTTTCTTTTTCTTTTTCGTCTTGTCCATGGGTTGAGTGAAGAATAAATTGAGTCTTTCTTTTACTTGCCTCTCAGGATAATGTATCTTTCTTCGTTTCACTGTATCTGCTTCATTTAGCACGCCGGAGTTTGATTAATTTGACTCAACACTTTACTGAATCTTTTCAGCTCAGAAACCTTAATAGATTTCTATTAATTCCGCACATCCAAATTTATAGCAGATCATAGCAAGTTTGGTTAGACGTCCATTCAGTTTGAATTCTGAAGAGAGCTGACTTGGTGGTGGTCTTTATTTTCACGCCTCGGCACGTGACCTATGACTTCTATCTAAATAAGGATTTTGCATGTGTGAGTGAAAAGAGGTTACTGACCCTTTTCCTTTTTCTGCCGTATTTCAGAGAGTTCAAGGTAGCTTTAATGTCTGGTATGCATCTGGTCAAATCATCACGCTAGCATGTGACCTAGAAGGAGAAAGTAGAATACATAATCTTTGCTTGAATGCATGCAAGTTTAATCAATAACTGTTGTCAATTTCAATGTTTTTCGTTTTCATTTTCACATTTTCTGAAAGTATTGGCTCCTCATCCAGAGTACTTCCAAAATATAAACTTGAGTGTTAATTTTAGAATAAAAGTAGATCGTAATAATATATATATATATATATATATATATATATATATATATATATATAAAGAACAGTAAGATATATAATCCGATGTTCTTATTGATATTTTTTACTTTTACAAAATAGTGCTCAATGTAAATTTACAGAGAATAAATATTATAATTAACTGATTTAAAAAATATGGTTTCTTCCTACAATAATAACCATGTTTCAAAAACTGAAGCTAAAAACTTCAAATTTAATTATATAATTAAATTAAAAGCATTAGTTCCGTTTCATCTTCAAGCGAATTTTGGAACCTAATTTAATTTAATTATATAATTAAGTTTAAAGTTTTTAGCTTCAGTTTTTGAAACATGGTTATTACTGTGTAGCGAAGAAACCATATTTTAAATCAGTTAATTTTATTAAAGAAAAATTTATTAACTTTTATTTATTTTTTCTAGTGCTCTTAGCCCTTTTGAAGGGGTTTTGTTTTGGTATTGTTAGTTTCTTTTCGTGTTATGCTGTTTAATATGTATTATTTGTGTGGTTTTGAATTCTAGTAGGAGCGTTAATTCCAAGTCACACACACACACACACACACACACACACACACACACACACACACACATATATATATATATATATATATATATATATATATATAATGTAAAGGAATAACCTGTCACCCCCGTGAGTGACTACACTATAGGTAGTAACTAACTATTACTATCTGTAAGTCAACGGAC